GGAATCATTTCAGCAAGTATTTTAATAGCAGTTAAATGATCTTGAAACTTTAACGCTAACATCCCTTTGTAAGACAAGCCTTCTTGAACACTTAACTCTTTAAATCACATGAAGAATGTGATGATGGTGACATAAGGTCCTTGTCTTGCACATTCTTGGAGAAAATTATTTTAAGTAGGCTTTTGAGGAATAAGTTCTTGAGGTAGAATATTTTACAATTTTTATTAATAAGACCAAATAGATTAAAGATATTTTAAGTAGCTCAATTAAGTAAGGGAAACTGGAAAGCCATAGAACCGCGTCTTAAGAACGTGTAACTAATTTTTACCTGTAGTGAATAAAATTATCAATATATTACAAAATTACTAGAGCTTCCATCTATTTGAACTTTGATTCACCTTAAGTATTCACCCAGTATAAAAAAGGTTAAGTGTTTTAAAGTACTTAATCTCCAGCTAACTAAAGAGGCTGAAAAACTAGTTTTGTCCTTTTTGTGGTTTTTTGGATGTATCAATAATTGATTTACTGCGTAAATTGGCAAGATTCATTTGTTGATACACTTTCTAGGTACTGTTGGCAATACCAGTTCCTGTCCTTTTATTCAGTATGGAAGGTCAACAAGATGGTTACACAAACCATATTTGAGAATTAAAGTTCTGCTCCTGCAGTACAAGATCATTGTCTAGTAGAACGTTAGTGGTCTGAGGAGCTATTTCTGTCAATGACATGCAGCACCCCAATTTTAAGAATAATAGGTCTTTGAATGACAAAATTGAAAAGTTATCTCATGACCCACAAAATAGAGTTAATTAATTTGATAAAGCTTTGCATAATTTAATTTCCTAATGAGTTTCTTAGTGAAGGAAGTATTTTACATTTAAATGGAATGTGTACTTTGTAATAATAATAATTTTCATTGTCAAAATGCCCAGTGGTGACATGATATTAAAAAAAAAAGAGTGTTAGCTCCTGCGACATTTTTGTATCAGTTACTGTATTTTCATAGAAGTGGTAAATAATGGGAGAAAAAGCGTTCATTGTGAATATTAGGGTCTTGTACTGTCATGTTGGTGTTGATTGTAATATCAAAGTTATAATTAGCTTTTAACATTTCATGTAAACACTAGAGTGTTACCTTGCAATAGCCATCAGCCACTGTAATTAAGAGCAGTGCAGATTATTTCCATATTCTTGCATTCTTGCATTCAATGATATAGCAATCTACAATGGTTCCATTGTTTGGATCGCATGATTGCAAGTTGTGGTGGTTTTTAGAGAGCACTACTGTACTTGTAGGTTTTTGGTGCCATTAAAGAAAGAGGATATAAGAAAGAGTTGTGAAAGCCCAACTTGCACACAGGGCATCCTGCATTCACAAGAATTCTGTTTCCTCATGGTTTAGTCTGCTGTTGCTGATGACTGTGTGCTTTTCCAAGTGCAATTTAAGGACATGAAAAAGATTTACATAGGAATAAAATACATGGTCAACTATAGCACTGGCCAAATTTAAATAACAATGTGATGTGCATTTTTTTTTCACAACGTATTTGAATTAGGGTAAGGGTACATGCTTTTTTTAACTATGGGATAATGTTGGCTTTATGAGTAAGCGTGTGTGTGTGTGTGTGCACAGAATGCTAGATGGAGGTCTCTTAACACTGCTCTTTCCCACATTCTTTAGCTCTACCTTTCAAATAAAAGGCAAATTCTGGAAATAAAATGACACAGTTCTGAAAACAGAATGTATTACTTAAATATATTGTGTAGCAATATAAACAAAACCTTAGAAGTCACAGCTATCTCCTAGGTAGTGGTTTGTTGCTGTTCTCATTTTTTATGAGTCTAGACATGGTCAGGAACGAGGTAGGGATCAAGACTCTGAGCTGTATGAATTCCAGCGTGATGTTTTTTAGTGTTCATGGCTGCAGAGGACTGTGCAGTCATGGCAAATTGTGAGTGCTATTTTCTGGTGACATTTTTCATTGCAGATTTTTAGTTCCATGGTTGCTGGGTCAGGTATTCCTACCTTCATTTATGCAGCAGGGACCCTGTGAACCATCTAGTGGGAGGTTTCTTCTTAACGCTTGACCATTTGGGAAACCTGTTCCCTTGCGCCTTTTCCAGTTCAGCCGTCCAGCACCAGCCCATCAGTCTGTGATGAGGCTTCCCTCGTCCTTCCCACTTACCTGTTGTGATCAGATTTCTATGAAGTGACAGGGGGAAATGGGGAGTTGCATTTTTTTGAGGTTGAATGACAAAAGCAGAACAGACTTTGCTAGACTTATGTTACTTGATATATATCAAAACCTGTAAAAGGTCATTTTAATGAACCAGGAAACAGTGGAGTAAGAACTGGCAGTTAAGTCAGTTTATGAACCTGTTCATGACAGCTACCTAACTGGAAGAAATAATGCTTATTTATTTAGTATTTGAATGTTTGTACAAGAAGAAAATAATGTTTTAAGTCTCAGCTTATACATGGAATCCAGATACCTTCTAATGACAGTTGTAATGACGGGCACCCAGATGTATGTTGTCTACTTTGGGTTGAACTAAACCATGTAAGACAACTCTAAACCAACTTTAACTATCCCCCTTTATAAAGCAAAGCTGTGGTAATTCATGAGGTATCACTGTAGTCATTTTTATAACACTGTCGGAAGCTTGATGTCCCTTGCTTAGTTTGTAGTGGTAAATTCCATGCAGCATGTTGGATGTACGCTGCCAAATGAATGTTGACGTATGGTAGGAAGGGGATGGAGCATCTGGGTTTAATTAGAGAGTCAGTTTAGAGAATGAGAATTCAGGGAAGATTGAGCTCCTTCGTATGAGGCTGGGGACCTTTGAGTCCAAGCCTGGGTGGACCGAGGAAGGAGGAGACTGAGCACCCTGCAGAGCTGAACACTGGTAGCTCTGCTTCCAGGGAGGTGAGCAACAGCAGCAGGACTCGGGGAACAGGTGATAGAAAGCTATACACTTAGGATTTAGACTTTCATTATATGCTCTGGTGAAGTTGATGGGAGTCTCTCAAACATTAAGTGACCTGACTGACTTGGATCTGCAGGTGGGAGTTTCTTTCAGGCATGGAATGCCATTTGCTATCTGTTAGAGGCACTTACCTGTATCTTTCTATGTATCAGGTAAATCATAGGCAGAGAAAAACGCAATATTGGATTTTTACTGATAGCTTATAGTACACAGTGATAGTTTACTTTGTGAACTGGCTTTTCAAAGATGGTGCAATATACCATCTTTTGGGATTCCCCTAGTTTTTAGGATCTTGGGTGAAACAACAACATTGCATATGCAATATGGCAGATGGTTTAAGAATCTGAGAAACCCACTGTGCCTTCAGCGCCCCGTTATTTTCCTGTCATTCTGGTCATGCTGAGTACATCCAACTCTTTTGATATTAACGGGTATAATGAGTATGCGTAGATCAGAATATGCAAAAACTGATCTGCAAGGGAACTTTGAAAGAGCCAGCTCTGCCAATGTACATGGTAGACAGTTGGAATATTTAGATGTTAAAAAACTTCCAGTGGTTCTTAGTACCGCCAGAACTTTTAATAGTAGTAGACATACAGAGACCATGGAGAAACATGAGCCTCAAAAGCTTCCTAGACTACATTTCTGGACAGGAAAATAAGGGTAAGTCTGGGAAAATGATAATGCTGTACTACAGGAATGGTGATGCCTTGGGAGATAGTGAGGGTGTTACTGATGCTTTTATACTCAATTAATTTATTTTTAAAATGGTACGATTATAGATGTTATAGCAGAATTACAGTTCTGAAGTGCGTGTTAAAAGATGTCTCTAGTAGAGAAGTGCTTCTAATACATTTTGTCATAGTACAGATTTGGTATACTTGCACGTGTAATAGTAGTATCTCACAGAGAACTAAGATAACTACAAAGCCAAGTGGTCTTGGTTTTCTGCAGCAAAGTAGAACTGTAATAATAGCTGAGTTACATGCAACATAGTATTCAGTTTGGCAGTAGTTGATTGTTACTTCATATAATTATTTAGGTTCTCTTTAAGAAATTCATTTAGGGTTGATTGCAAACTACTCTGATAGTTCTACAGATATTTTGATCAGACAATGTAGAATGTGAAATGTTAGCACATTTAGGTTTTCTACTGGGCTTACATAGGGGAAGATGATATAAACCTATGCTTTCTTAATTCTTCATTAGAATTGTACAGTATGTGACGATATGAGAAATCCAGCTTCGTATACTCTTTCGACTCATGATTGTTACTGACCCTGATTTGTCGTATGTCCCATTCTGCCTGCTGTTTCTTTGTTAACACTGCTTCCTTTTAAGTGATATCTAGGTGGCAAACTTTGTTTTCCTCTATTTTTTTCTAAGTAAAAAAATAACAATCAGTTGGTAGTTAAAACTGCCAATTATAGTTCTAACTACCAATTGGTTAAAGCAAAAGAAACCTACTTCAGGTAACAATCTTTCTGAGAAAAACCCTGACCTGCTGAGTTGAGTTGGTGAGGCACGTGGAGTATTAAATAAGAACAACCTTGAAACAGGTACCTCGCTATTAACGTTCCCTTCAGGTTTCACAGCAATCTTAGTTTCCTCTGTGGAGCAATCTGAAGTTTTCACACATTTCAGCTCGCCTCTCGTTTGCATAACACACAGCTGCAGAGAGCTGCAGAAAAGATCATCTTGTTTGAATGGGAATTTCTGATGAATATTTTGCTGAAGTTTGAATTTAGATCTTATCTTTTAATCTGGCACACCTCTCATAATGTGGAAGTAGCACTGTTTGCTTCAAATCTTTAGCAAATCTAAATACAAAAAATACAAAAAAAATATATACAATGACAACATGATATTAATAGAAAAAGAGAATGTAGGTGCTTCTATCATTCAATATTGAGTAATAAACTTGCCTGAAAATGAGATAATCATATTTTCCCAGGTGTGCTTTTGCTATCTACGTAAAGATTAGTTAATTAGGCTTCATATTGTCTCCACAGAGATCTAAAATTGCAGTGTTTGATAAAATGTGGACCTATATGAAAAGTGCAGAGCCATCTGTGTTTGTGAGGACTACAGCAGAAGGGGTAGCTCGAGTACGGAAGTCCAAAGGAAAATATGCCTACTTGCTGGAGTCAACCATGAATGAGTACATCGAACAAAGGAAGCCCTGTGATACCATGAAAGTTGGTGGGAATTTGGATTCCAAAGGCTACGGCATCGCCACACCTAAAGGATCCTCATTAAGGTGGGTGGAATAGTATAACAATATGCTAAATGTTGTTATAGTATCCCACCTACCCTGATGTATCTTTACTGATGTCTATGGTTTGTATAAGGATATGAGGTAACTCTCAAACATGCATTTCAAACACTATTATCAAAATGAAAGTGCCTATGCTGACAATATTGACAAATATTCGGATACGTCTTTAAATTTCTTGCAGGTTTTCTAACCATGTAAACATTCATTTTATTATTATTATTATTATTTAAACATTCCAATTTTAAGGATTGTTTTCTTATTTCTTTTCCTTTTTTTTTAGATTTGCTTTTCACGTTACTAGCTTATAGTGTGAGTCTATTTCCTCATACCTTGTAGAAAACGTCGCTCTGCTCATGAAACTAAAACCGAATGGCTGCATTTGAACAGTAAACCGGAGTAACTAACAAAATGTGCCATTGTTTAAAGAGGGCTTTGTTTCGGGGAGAGGATAATGCACTATGAATTTCTTTGCACACATCTCTTTACTATGTAGTTAACTCTTTGTATTCCTATTTTGTTGTTTGTTTTTTTAGTGGAGTCACATTCAAGACACTGTTATTTGTTTGTTGTGGATGTGAGTACATTGCTGTAGAATATAGAACTCCCCATATTAGCACT